GCTAGTATACTAATTGGGTGATTTTCTTGCATTATCTTTAATCCATACAACAACCCAATTCCACTTTTACCTATAGGTGAGGAGATTGAAGCTCAAAGGGATCCATAAAATCAGTAAATTGGCCCAAAATCTGTGGGTGCTTGTTTTGTGTGGGTTTTTTGTTTTGTTTTTTTTTGGCATTGCTTCAAGATGGTGCATATTTTCTCCCGAGTTGGAATGAAAAAAAATTGAATTTACCTTTTATCTTCCAAAAACAAACTCTTGAAACCACTTTGAAGACCAAAGCTGGTAAACCCAGATATTTTGATTTGCACAAGCCTGGATTTTGCAAGGACACAAAGTTTATGTTTTGCTTCATTTGTCTTTTTGCTTGGCATATCTGAAATCCAAGGCCTTTATCAAAGAGAACCATGGGAATCAACAGCTGAATGGTGATGGTTTGGAAGCAGGTAATGTCCAGGTGAGAGATGATGTCTGAAGAAGGCAGTGGCCAAGGATGGACAGGAGAGATATTCAGGGGTAGAATCAATAGACGTGATTAAGTGATATGGGCTGCTGTCCAAGTGCCTTCACTTAGGCCGTCACTCCAGCCTCCAGTGTGGCCATTCCCCTGGCCGTGTCTGCTCTCGCTGGTTCCTGAATGTTCTTGCTCTGTCTGGGCTCCATGCCTCTGCATGTGCTGTGCTGCCTGCATGTGCTGATCACGCCAGAAATCTTGGGGTTCTTTGTCTGTCTCCCCAGCTAGAGAACGAGCTCCTTGAAGGAAGGTGCTGAATCTCTTCTCTCGGAATCCCAGCCTCTGGCACAAAGCCTCAGGCACCACGAATGCTTGTTGAGCGGATCAATACATTAAAAAAGGATGCAGGGTGAAGAGGAAAGGAAGTAAAGGGAGAAAGAATGAAGACATGGGGGCGCCATCAGATCTTATTATAATCACTCCTCTCTCTGATGTTACATGTTAATCCTCTTCAGAGTGAGGCATGAGAGTGATCCGATGAGCAGGTGCCTCTGCTAGCTGCTGGAACTCGAGCCAAAACGACTGGGGATGGTTCATCCTGTCATTCTGCCCCGACAGTTTCCGTGAGACTCGCATCCCTAGGGGCAGTGCCTTCTGCAGACATTGATGTGGGTGTGAGCCGGGGCACTGAGAACCAAGAGAGAGGTAACAAGACGAGGTGGACAGAGTTCTGACGACCTGTCCTGAGTCCTGAGCTCCAGTCCTGGATGCCCAGACAGCCGGTGAGCTGGGCTTTCTGACAGGCTCCTGCCAATTGACATTCTAAAATCTCTATTTGCTTCGACTTCTTCTGTTCTTTCCTTGCTACTTCCACACTCACTGATCCCCCAGGTCCTCAGGAGACCAAATTGTAAGCCAGAGCAGGAGATAGGGCTTGAATTAATTTCAGTGTCTTTGTGTCTTGCAGTAACAGAAAATCTTGCATCTTAAATCCTGTTTGTCTAAGCGGCTATATTTTCTTATGTGTTTTCCCCCCATCAGTTAATTGTGTGTGTTTTTAAAAATATATTCCATCAGTTAATTCTGAAGGAAAAGATTGATAGAGAGAGCATCAGACATTGTTTTCTCTAATGTCCAAATGTTCTAGGTTAAGTCCCTGCAGCAACAAACTCACCTCCTATTTCTTTTGTGACAATGACTGTAATTAAGCACTACAGCTCTCATCTCACAGGGGGGGCAGGCAGAGAGCTTGCTCAGGGCTGTGTAACTATGACACCCGGGAACAGGACCATAGCTGTCCCCATTCCATGCGGTCAGTGGCTTGGGTGGTTGCATTTTCTTTCTTTCTTTCTTTTTTTTAAACATAAGGACTCTTATTATTTATTTATTTATTTATTTTTAAAATATATTTTATTGATTTTTTACAGAGAGGAAGGGAGAGGGATAGAGAGTTAGAAACATCGATGAGAGAGAAACATCAATCAGCTGCCTCCTGCACACTCCCTACTGGGGATGTGCCCGCAACCAAGGTACATGCCCTTGGCCGGAATTGAACCTGGGACCCTTCAGTCCGCAGGCCAGCGCTCTATCCACTGAGCCAAACCGGTTAGGGCGGTTGTATTTCCTTTATCCTTTGTGTTTTAGTAGCGATCTGGAAAGTACCCCCTGGTTCTTCTGGCCTTCCACCGTCCTAACCTCTCATTTCTTCCTCCTTAAAATGAAGGGTGGGCTTGGAATAGCTTGAGTCCCTGGGACCCTGTAGGCAAGGATCCAGGAGGCTGGGCATGAGGGTCAACCTACTGCACTGAATGAGCAAGAAGCTTCCCCCCCCCGACCCCCCCTTCAGCTTTGAGGAGGAAATGGCCAGGAAGTTGGCAGCTCACTTGCTCTGGGCCAGAATGCTAGCAGCGCAGCTGGTTCGGCTGGCCATCTCATGCTGATCACAGGCTCCGATGGGCAATTATACGTGTCTTTGATTAATAAAAAATGGGGCGATAATGAATACTTAATCAACGCAGCCTGGCCGGGAGGCTCTTTCAGAACCTGGGCTGGGGGTGAGGCAGGAGGTACTCAAAGGGGTCCTGGGAGGCGAAGAGGTAGGGCACCCCCAGGGGGTGTTCTGGAAAGCTGTCCAGTCCTGGTCCCTGGGCCTCTTTGGATTCTGTGCTGGCAGATCTGCTGTGCTTGGGATTTGCTGGCCACCCTGGGAACATGAGATTAGGAGAGAGTTAAGCTGGTAGGCAAATGGGGAAAGGTGTGTTCTGTGCCCTCCCATGTGGCCAAAGAAAAGCACAAGGCATAGGGTGTGTGTGTGTCCGTGTGTCTGCAGGCGGCTGTGTGTCCTCTGTGTGTGCTGTGAGTTTGGTCGGGTGGGTTCTGTGGGTCTGCTGTGCCTGCCATGGTATTAGCACTAACTTGGTTGGGAGGGAGGAGAGGCCAGGGACCTGGGAGGCTGAAAGAGCATCAAGAGAGATGAGAAGGGCCCTAGCTGGTTTGGCTCAGTGGATAGCGCATCAGCCTGCGGACTGAAGGGTCCCAGGTTCGATTCCAGCCAAGGGCACATGCCTGGATTGCGGGCTTTATCCCCAGTGGGGCATGTGCCGGAGGCAGCCAATCAATGATTCTCATCATTGATGCTTCTATCTCTCTTTCCCTCTCCCTTCCTCTCTGATATATTAAAGAGAGAGAGAGAGAGAGAGAGAGAGAGAGAGAGAGAGAGAGAGAGAGAGAGAGAAAGAGAGATGAAAAGGGCCCTAGCTGGTTTGGCTCAGGGGATAGAGAGAGCTGACTGAAGGGTCCCAGGTTCGTGTAAGAGGCAACCAATCGATGTGTCTCTCTCACATCGATGTTTTGCTCCCTCCCTTTCCCTTCCTCTCTCTCTAAAAAATCAATAGAAAAATATCCTCGGGTGAGAGTTAACAAAGAGGGGGAGCGGTGGTGGCGCCGCTGGGGTTGGAGGGAGAGAAAGGAGAGAAGATCCGAGAGCAGGATTCCAGAGGTGGGAGAGGCTGCGGGCAGCAGCGGCTGCGGGCGAGCAGAAGGAAGTGATGGAGAGCGGGAGGAGGTGTCACCTCCGCCGACACGGCCCCGCCTGTGCCTGTCTGGGTCCTTCCGGCTGGAGGTGGGGCAGCGACAGGACTGGGCGGGGCGGGGTGGGGACGAGAGGCGAGGCGCGAATCCGAACCGCGGAGAGTACGGTGCCCACAGCCCGGAGCCCGGGAGGAGGCGGCGGGTAGGGTAGGGCGCCGGGGAGGGGTGGCCGCTTGGCCACGGGACAGGGAGTAGGGGACGGGGTGGGGGGCGATGGACTGTGAGGCCGCTGACTCCGGGGGCCCCTCTGCGGGGTGGGTGCGGGTTGGGGTGAGGGCTGGGCCTCTGGGCATGCTTTCTGCCCAGATGCTGATGAGCAGGGCGGCGGGAGGGGGCGTGGGAGTCCTAGCTGAGTGCCAGGGCGGGAGGCTCCTGTTGGAGTTGGGATATTTTGGGCATGAGCCTGGCTCAAGTTGTGACTGACTAGCCCATGTGACCTGGGATAGGTTGACAAAATACTCTGAAGCATTTGCTTTCCCTGGCAGTAAAGGGAAGCTAACCAAACACGGAGTCTGCCAGATTGTCCTGAGGATTGGTGAGAACCTGTATGCAGACCCCTCACCCCCTGCGACTGGGGCCGAGTTGCTGCTGTCATTATGTCCGTGGACAGTGTCCAGAATTTGGGCTCAGTTCCCGCTTCGCCACCTGCTGCCAGTGGTGATGGAATGGCGAGGCCGTTTGCAGCTGTTTCCAACAGCTGGCCTGGCTCTCCAGTCCACAGAAAGATTTTGTCCACCTCTGCCTCTCCCCTCCCCCTCGCCCTCACCGAGCAGCCTCTGCCTTCTTTTACAGGTTCTGGAGACATCCCCACCGGATGGTTTCTGCCCAAGCCTAAACAGCCAGTTACCAGAGTGCCAGTGCACGGAAGGGCCTGCCAGGGGAATTTTCCAAGTGCTCCAGCCCCAGGCCTTGCGCTCCTGAGGTCAGCGGGGGAGGCCAGCAGTACCAGTGGGATCTGAGGAGCGGCTGTGGCCCAGGCCATGTCCGGCCAGGGACTGCCCCTGCGTGTGGCCACCCTGCTGACGGGGCTGCTGGAATGCCTGGGCTTCGCGGGCGTCCTTTTTGGCTGGGCATCCTTGGTGTTTGTCTTTAAAAAAGAGCATTACTTTGAGGAGCTGTGTGAACACGATGCCAGGCTGATGGGCAATGCCACGGGCATGGAAGGTAAGGGAGCGATGACTTCTCTGGGAAGCTGAGCCTGGTTTCCAGGTGGTGGGAAGGGTAGGAAGGACTTTACTTCCTGGCTATCCTTTCTTTCTTTTTCTCTTTAATATATTTTTATTGATTTCAGAGAGGAAAGGGGGGGGGTGGAGAGGGAGAGAAACATCAATGATGAGAGAGAATAATTGATCGGCTGCCTCCTGCACGCCCCTCCACCAGGGACTGAGCCCACAACCCAGGCATGTGCCCTTGACCAGACTCAAACCTGGGACCCTTCAGTCCGCAGGCCGATGCTCTGTCCACTGAGCCAAACCGGCTAGGGCCCTGCCATCCTTTCTGTGGAGAAAGGGAGGGATTGTCAGCCAGCCTTCCTCTGTGCCCCAGCCTTAGTCTAAGGACTGCCTGGGGAGGGACGTACCAGCTTCCGAGGGGTAATTAGGGACCGTCACATTTCAGCTCACCTAGGGGAGAACTTTCCAGAGGCAAGCTGTCTGAGGTGGCAGGGGCTGCCCCAGACGGGAGCCAGGCTGGATGCTCACCTGGCAGGAAGTCCAGGTGGAGGAGAGGTTGGCCCCTCCACCCCAGGCTCCTGAGCTCTTCCTGTCTCTCCTCCAGACTGCAAAGCCCAGGATGAGAAGTTCTCGCTCATCTTCACCCTGGCGTCCTTCATGAACAACTTCATGACCTTCCCCACCGGCTTCATCTTTGACCGTTTCAAGACCACCGTGGCCCGCCTCATAGCCATGTAAGTCCCGAAGGCCCAGCCTGGGCACAGATGGGTAAGAGGAGTTCCTCTGGCAGCAGCCTCACTTGAGGGGAACCCAAGCCAGGCAGCTGGGCAGCCCTGCCAGGCCCTGTCCCAGGAGCTTTGCAGGGGGTGGACTAACCTTCCCACACTCCCACTTCCCTTTTCTCGCTTCCCCTTCGGCTCCATGCGAATGTGTGTTCAGCATGATGCTGAATTGAGCAGGAGCTCAGGCCTACTTCCTGGGGCCAGGGTTACCAAATGAGCAATACCTGGAATTGTCACTCGGCCTTCTTCCTGGAGATCCTTGTCCACATCTCCTGCGAGGCCTCACACCCAGGGGGCCCAGGCTTAGTCATCCTCCTCCTCCCTCCATCATCCTCCAAAAGGCTTAGCTGGTTATGTCTTATGGGGTCTCCAGTGGTGGAGCTTCCGTCTCTTCTGACCGAAAGCGAGCCTGTGGGGGTTTCCCATGCACATGAGTCAGGGAAGGTCAGGGGCTTTATCTTGTTCACACAGGTGCCCCTGGTGCTGGCATGTCCAGTGATAAGCAGCGGCTTACTGGGGGCTGATAACCCAAAGCAGGCACCTCCTGGCAGGTGTGTGAGAGATGAGTTGTCAGACAGAGGGACTGGAGGGCAGGCTGGGCCAGGAAATAGCCAGAGAGCCAAGTTAGTCCCTTGCTCTTTAAGTGTTTGGGTGCAGAATGACTTTATCTCAGTTTCCTGGTCCTTGTCTCCCTTCTTCCCTCCCCTTCCTTTGCCCCTAACTCTTTCCCCAGCCTTAGCATGTTAACAAAATCTCAGTCTCCCTTTCTGTGTTTATTCTTTACTTTCATACAAAATACTTCCCTTCTGACACTTCTGGTCACCAAATGTGTGGGTTTTCCACACTGAGCAATTCTGCGACCCCAGTTGGGTGTTCTACAGTGTAACTCATTTCTGACATCCTCTGCCTGGAGATAGTGTCAGATCTCATAGTTAAGGGTTCCATCCCAGGAGACTGCCCCCCCCATTTCAGTTGTCCCAGGTGGTAGATCTCCCATGTGGGGGAGGAGAAAATTTCCCCTCTTTCCACTCTTAGTTTTTCTGGCTGATCTGATAGTTAAATTAACATGAAGAAGATTAATAGGTGTGCCAGGCCAGCACAGCCAAGGGTTCGGTGAGCCTGAGGCGGGGCGGCAAAGGATTTAGAAAAGACAGACAGAGGTAATAAGCTGGGTCTAGGTGGATCTCCTGTGCCTGGCTGAGGCCACGGAGAGAGACCCAGACAGCAAGCTGAGCCTTTATTTTATAGCCAGAGGTAAATAAGGTAGTGGTCACCATAGTTACCTCCCACAGCCCATTAGCTACCCAGATAAGATCTAGGGAGCTCATAAGGTCAAGCCTAGTTATACTAAGAGGGCTGTACCCTCTAAGCTAGGACTTGTTTGTGGCTTTGCCAACAGGTCAGTCCAGGCTTAACCCTATAGCCGCACCCTACAACTAGGAGAAAATAACCAAATTTAATTACATATGTACATACAGGGGTTCCATAAGAATAAGGGGTTCAAAATCAGGCAGCTGAGGCTTATCTGTCATCTTGAGCTAAAGAGAAAAGGGGGCCGGTAGTGGTTTGGGACTTCAGAGGGGAGGAAGGCAATTCACGTGGAGGTGGAAAAGCAAAGGTTTGGTAAACAAACATTGGCTGGACCATCTTTAACAGTGGGACACAGCGGGCACTTTGATCAAGCAACCTTCTAGGCTCAGATTAAACTGCTGTTATCTGTGATCCCTCCCATTCTGGAGCAGGTCCTCTAATTTTTTTTAGGCAGTTAGGAGAAAGGTCAAAGGTTCTGAGTTTTTTGTTTCTTACCAAGAACTAGCTTAAAATAACCAGTGTCCCAAAGAGGCATATTTTGGGGTGGCTAACTCTGCTTCCCTTCACCAGGTTAACCCCCAACTTCTGTCCAACTTGGCTACTGACCAGAGGTTCCCATGACCTCATCCCCTGTGGGTTTGATTATTTGATAGAGCAGCTTACAGAACTCAGAGAAACACTTATGCTCAGCAGTTGATTAAAGGACAGGATAAAGGGTACAGATCAACAGCCACGTGAAGAGATAGATTCATATTAGTCATTTTCATAAAACTTGCAGGTAAAGCTGGGAGGGTCCCGAGCACAGGTGCTTCTATCCACGTGGAGTTGAGGTGTTTTACCCTCCTGGAAGCTCTCTGAACCCTGTACTATTGGGGTTCTATGGAGGCTTCCTCAAGGAGGCATGATCAATCATCAACTCTAGTCCTAGCCCCTCCCCCCTCTCGACAAGTGTATGGGGGGGAGACAGGGCTGAAAATTCCAAGCTTCACCTCATGGCTTAGTCTTTCTGCTGAGCAGCCCCATCCAGGAACCCACTCAGAGTTGCCTCATCAGAACAAAAGATCCTCTAGTGCTCTCATCACTTAGGAATTTACAAGGATTTTAGGAGCCCTGTATCAGGGGCTGGGGACAAAAGACAAATATGTATTTCTTATTATAAAATCATAGTACCACAGATCACTCCCTGGTGTGGGAGCACGGATTCCTTATAGCAAAGCAATCATAAAGTTCAAAAGATACAGCACATTATTAATCCCACTCAGTCTTAATAACTATCCAGTCCGTCATCGTATCCTCTGAGAATGTTTTCCCGGGCCACTCGGGTCTGCCGGCTTCTTGATGATCTTGCCCAGTTCCAAAAGCAGGAGTGGTGTTAGCAATTTATTGGCTTCACCCTTCTAGGCAGCTGGTGTCATTGAGCTAAGAGCAGTATCATCTCTTGCTCAGAGCCTCTTTTGAGGTGATGATGTGATATTGGACCTCCCTCACTGCATAATGCACTTACTCATTCCCTTACCTTCAGCTACTCTTCCTCCACTGATGCCCAACCGTTTCCACCCTGCTGGTCTGGGATGCAGGCAGCAATACTAACTAGTCTAGCAGGTGCCCTCCCCCGCCTCTGTCCACTTCTGTTCGGATGGGGTCAGGTTACACAGGTGCAGAACTAGCGGGCTGTCTCTACCACCAGGTGGGCATCTAGCAGCATTCACTGTTGGCCCCGAGTTTTGCCAGATGGACTGAAGGCACAACCTGCCCCATGGAGGCCTTAGGAATTGTAACATAAAGGTCAAACACAGTTATAGTTTCTGGGGTAGGAATCCGCCCGCTTCCATTCCTTGTAGTGGTCCTGTGCCCAGCGGGGAGCACAGCTGAGTCGATGTGAGGCAGAAAGAATACCAGCAACTTTCCTTTCCTACGTCCTCTTCTCCAGACCCGCTAGAAAAATAGGGGATCTGTCCAGTGGGGACGCTCCTTAAGTCCCCCTGATGCTGAGTATGAGCACACACTTGTGAGTGCGGGTAAGCCAGCCCTTCATGGACTCATTTCCCCCCATTTTCCACAACCAGTGTTTCAATAGTGTGTCCCAATCCTCTATCAAACTAGTACTCTGAGGATATCTCTGTCCATTGTCAGACATTATGGGCTGTAAAGGGCGCTCCTTGGCCTGAAGAAATGATGGTCAGCCATCCAGATTGGTACAACGTTGGTTCTTTCATAGCACGCTGGGTATTTGCAGCTGCCACTGATCAGCAAAGCCCAGTCCAGAGTCAGAGTCTATTCCTGTCAGAACCATTTGTAGTGCCCAGGGCTTCCAGACCAGTTTCTCTTGCCAGCTCTGTTCAGGGCCTTCTCCCCAGAGGATCTGCCACAAGGCCATCTGCAGGCTCGGTGTCTTTTGCTGGCAGGCAGAATAGCTCTTACTGGACTTTTGTGCCTCAGAGGTTGCAAGAGGGCAATGTCTAGGTCCAGCCCATTTGTGCATTGCTGCAGCAGCCCCAGGTCCCCTCGTGTTATGGACCCAGGTGGCCACCTGGAAGGAGCACATAGGGACATAGGCTTGCTGATTTTTGGATGGACACGGTGATTTCCACAGGGCTATACCCCATACAGGCATCCCTTTAATAGGCTAAGCTTCCACTGCCCTCTGCCTGACCATGTGGCCAGGTCATTGCCACTACCCATGAGTCAGTAAAGACCCAAACACAGGGCCCCTTTCCATTGTTCGGTTCTTCGGTTTGCTAGGAAAATAGCCTGCAGCTCAGCCACAGAGCTGATCGGTTTCTACCTTCTTTGATCAGAGTGGTGGCCTCACAAACAGGATGTTGTCCACTCACCATGGAACTGCCATCCACAAGCCAGGCAGCTCCCTGGTGATCAGTTAAGCGTCCTGTGTAAGGCAGTGTCCAAGTGACAGGAGACTCCGGCAGCCCCTCACACAGGCCTGGGCTCAGACCTAGGGGGAGAGAGGCTCCTGCTTGGCAGTATCTCCTTGACTCCCAGGCAATGTGTGATCTCGTATAAACCATTCCATTAGGGAACTCTCCTGGGCTCTGCTACCCGCGTTGTGGTGTTTCTACAACATCGTCCTAGACATTGTGGTATTGCAGGTTTTAAGATCATTTTGTATTCTTTAGTCATCCATGTAGCTTCAATTAATGTCTAATAACAAGATAATAAATGCCCCTCAGGTGAAAGTTCTCTAGTTCAAAGTCCCGTAATTGTCCCTGGGAGGTGCACACAGACCTTTGCCATCTCCTTGGTCTAGCTCCACATGGCTGTGTTCCCCAGGATTGACGTATTAGCCACTCTCACAAAACATTACGCAAAGGGAACACAGCTCTTCTCATAAAACCTGTTTAAACATTCCACTTCCACAGTCTTATCAACACTTACATTTTCATGTTCTCTTACAAAAATTGTCACCCTCGTCTGAGCTTCACCAGTGTGTTTTGGTACTTCTCTTTTTCACCCCAGTATTTACCCACTTCTGTGTAGGAGGCTCTGGGTCCCCCGCACGGGGTCAAGAGACTCTGTCCCTGTTGTCAATCTTTAACTTGATGAATCTGCCACAAGCAACTGCTGCCTAAGTTTCTCATTGTCATCTCTGTCTCTGGCTTCCAACATTTGCTAACTTGGGATAAAAGATGGGACTTGTTTGGGGGCACTTAATGGCTGGGGGACCTGTGGGGGGTCCTCTTGGCCCCCCCTGTGGGGGGTCCTTTGGTAGCGCTGTATCAAAACCTCTGGTTTAAGGCCCATGGTGCTGGTAAGATGGGCCAGGAGGCTGAGGTCAGGGGGGCGGTGGCGTGATGAACAGAACCAGAAAACCCATTTGGGCCCAGCCCAAAGGCCAGCTCTTTTGGAGCCACTTCCCATGCTAAAGGGGTGGAAGCTCCATTCTACCACCCCGAAGTGTGTCAGGCCCTAGCTGGTGGCAGATGGCCAAAAGCCGCAGCCTTTGTGCCCAGTGACATTGGGTTTGGTCGCAAAGGTCACTGTGTTCGTGACATTCCTGGAGTCCACTTTTAAGGTTGTCAAAGGAACCGGTGTCTCTTTGGCCTCAAACAAAGGCAGGAAGGAAAGGCCATAATCCTAAATTTGATGGTGAAAACACAGTACTATTTGCTTTAATCACCTATTCCTTAACCATTTAGAATTTCTACCTCGATGCTCTGGCTGGTGGCTTAGTTGGTTGGAACACTGTCCCATGCACCAAAAATTGCGACTTGATTCCAATCGGGGCACATACCTAGGTTGCGGGTTCGATCCCCCATTGGGGCACATACAGGA